AATTGACCGAGGCAACAACACCTGACACTGGTGTGTGGGCGACCCGTCCACGTGGACGGCGACGGGGCCGGCCCGTTCGCCAGGTGGTGGCGAAAAAAAGAGAGGGAAACACGCACCGCTAACGACGACGTCATCTCGTCGCGTAGGAAAGCGCCCTCGAGGAAGATGTGTGATTGCCCTCGTTCATTGTTATCGACATTAAACTCAGGTGCATCTTTTAAAAGATATCTTGGCTAAATACAAGCATCTCATTTATTTATATAGTTTATTTTTCGTAAAGATTATTTCATCGGTCTTTCTAAACTCCATGCGTTGAAATGAAATTATGTTTAGTATAGCAAAATAGAAATTTGACAATTGATGATTAAGAATATTAACAATAGGTCTAATATGGAATATAATGTGGAACATTGTGTTTGATTGTTGGCTTGTATTTTTATCGCATATTTTAATGTCAATTATAACAATTTCATGAAATATTTTAGTAAATATATAAATCCTGTATGCAAGTAAATATTTGTAAAATAATAATCAAGTTTCGTAAACATTTTTCAAAATCTGCCCAGTAAAAATATAAGCTATAAGATGTTCGGTATTTTTTAAATTAAATTAATAAATTATTATAATTATAACAAATTATTTAATACATAATAAATGTAATAAATGTATAAATTATAATAGATAAATTATAATAAAATATCGACTTGAAAAATTTTCTGTAGAATTTTAAAAAAATTTTATAAAACACTTTAATTATATTATTTTTAATTTTTTCAATATTTTGTTTGTAATTTAATGTTGTTTAGTAGTATTGTTAAGTCTGTGAAATTCATTTCGAAATTAATCAAAGTTTTCAAAATGTGTTCATTTATTCCATTATCCGCATTCGTGAAACAATGAATGAACAATTGATAATTCGAGAATTGTGAGCCAATCATAAATACGAACAGCTGATCGTTAAATGCATCAGCTGTGTTAGACTAAACAAATGTCAATGAACACATCGTAGCATTGCAAATGTGTATCTACGACGAGAATGGATAACGGTACGAGAGATGAGCAACGTAAATGTCTTCCAATGTGTTTACGGAGCAATCGGGAAATCCGAATAAGAGAAAAAGGAAAGAAAGGGGAAAAAAGAAAGAAAGAAAAATAGAAGTAGAAGATTGATTAAATCGTACCGACTGGCCGAAACATAAACTTTTCGCAGTCTCTAAGTATACGAAGGAGAGTACACTCATAAATTAAAAATTATTAATTAATTTTTTTCTAGTCATAGTACTTTGTTCTAGTATTAACTACACAGTTTTGTTTTGGATAAAATATACTTTAATAAAGCATACTTATAATTAAATAATATCTCTAATAATTAAAATAGAATAAAGTTATCACAAGAATGTACATAAAAGATACACATAAAATGATATAATGCTTGCAAACCGCTATACCTGCAGAAACGACACACATTGGAGAAACCTCGATTGATAACACGATAATATCAGGAACCGTGTATATGTAATATGTGAAAAATATACGATTGAATACAATCGGTCTATTTATTTCCTTCTAACAGCGGACGTACGAGGAAAGATATGCGTGAAATGCTGTTTCTCTCTCGCCGATAAAATTTATTTTCATTTTCCATGAAATACGCGAAACGAGCAACGAGTACCTGATAACGAAGGGAATTTAATTTGTTCGTTGCCTGAAATATGCAACATAGTTCGTTGTGAGCCTAGCGTGCCTTACTTGTGATGTATCGAAGAATTGTCAGTTTCGAAATTATTTACCAAGTCTTCCATAGAGTTGAACCATGATCTAGGATTCCAAGGAAACTTGTTCCATTTCGGAGACATCTTGGGTTCAGTCGACGAGACGCCTGGGTCCATTTTCTTTAGCGTTAGATTTGTGTATTACCAACTCGTTGATGATTTTGACTAAGGCACTAGAACCGAGAGCCTGTGTCGCTCGATTTATATTTACATACGTTTGCTCGACAAGCTTTTGTCCTATTTGACACGCAAGGTTCGCATGAATCAGCGGTTCTCAAATTATGCCCCGAGCGTGAATGTGACAAACGATACAATTGTACAATTACATCGCAATCTTAAAAGTAAGATGGTTCGCTTCATGGTTCAAAGAAGAAATTTGAATATTCTCCGCCATCCAATAAAAAGTCAAAGTGTAAAATTTGTACCGTGAAAAGATATATATATATATATTCTCATCAAAATGTATTCAATGTTTTATAACAGAAATGATGAATAGCGAAATAATTTCTGGCTAGCTAGTTTATATACTGATTTTATCTGTATCTTATATTTTACCAAGTATTCTAAAGATATCTTTATTTTTATAATATGATTTACATATAATTTAATAGAGGGATATAATTTAATAGAGAGAGTATACCAATATTATAATGGGATTATTAAACATCAATATTACTAGAAGTCAAATCGATTTGTAATATATTCTTATAATGCATGCTTTTAATAAATTACAAAATATAATGTAATATATAAGTAACATAAAAATAAAATATCAACAAAATCACTTTATTATATGATTACAAATAGCAAATTATTATATTTTAATCAAATGCGATTAAAAATTTTTTACGTTTAACCAAACGTTTGACCAAATTTTTATAAAAACGTTTTTCTCAAAATCTAAAAAAAGAAAACGGATCTTGACATTTCATTTAATTCTTGGAATATTCACGGGTGTTAAAATAGAACTTGTATATTATATTATTTTGTAATTTGTTAAAAATAGATGTTAAAAATCGAATTGATTTCGAATAATATCAATGTTTAATAATATCGGTAAAAATCCAAAATAATGTCAATATTTTGGAAAAATTATGTGTATATCGGTACATTATACCAATTGATTTTTACTTCGGTTATCATATATATAAAATAAAAAAATACCAATATATTATCAATATATTTTATACCATTTTTAATCTCTGCTTTATAATATTGTGATAGCATGTGATATATGATAAAAATTTGTTATTAATCAGCCTTTTAACTGATTAATTTTTTTAATATTTCATTTCTTTGTGTTTATGTATCTTTTTAGATATCAAAATATTCAAAATTATTAATTCTGCCCATCTATATCTATTAACTTTGCTAATTACTTTTCCTTCGCGCATGAGACTTGCACTCGACATTTCGCAATAATCGATGCATGTCGATGCAGCAAATGCCCGTACAAATACATATTTGCTAATGATCATTCTCATTGATTTAACATCATATCCCAACACACCGAGCAACACGTTATGCAATTTCCTTAGAATTTATCTACATTCAATTTATGTAATCGATACGATTGTGCGATGCGTGCGACTTTCACGGGGACAAAGCGTGTGCATAAGTATAGGCATTACTCTCCTGTAAATTTTAGACTAGGATCACTAATCCAATTTACTTTTAATAATAGCACATATTGTTCAGTAATTATATTTGTAAAGTATGTAATAAAATAAGTATTCGATTACTGATAGTTGTACTCAAGCGACGAATCCATTAATTCAATTAACTATATCTTATATCAGATTATTAGATTACTTTATCAGATATTATTTTATATCAGATTATTATTATGTTTTAAATCATAAATATTTGCGATATATTTATGATTTACGGACTTTGTCTTCTTTTTTACTTGCAATTCTTCCAATTTTTAGCGTAGTTTGAAATAAAACTTTAAAGACATAAAATGGCGTTAACGCCAATTAAGACATGCAAATTAAATTAGCTTATAAATAAATTAATATTTTTAATTAGTATTCTTAATCAGTGAATTTTACAAAATAAAGGATTCTTCCGATTCACGGATTATTATTTGTGTAATATTCCGGATGTTATGTTTTCACAATTACAAATAGTGCTGATAAAATAATGACTTCCTTTCCTTTTCTCTTTTTTTCTCTATTGAATTAACATCGATCGTTCGTGCAATCAAGAAACAGGATGATGACTTACCAACTAAATGAAAAATCGCTCCCGCGAAAAATTTACTGTCCTCATGAATAATAAAACCTCTCATGTGCCTGAAATAAAAAATAAATGATTGCACAAAAAATTACATGGAATATCTGGATATTAGATAATAAACTACGCTTCTGCGTATAATTCGCAATACGATTGATATTAGAATCCATATAATTAAAAATTTTGTTTCTATTCAATTTCAATTTTATTAAAATTTAATTTCCTTTCAATTACATTTGTTACCTTCTTCCACATCTCATCTTTTTTATTATTAAAAAAAAAAAAAAAAAAATTGCGTCGAATTGCGTTGACAAAAATAACTAATGAGTACTCAATTCCCATTTATCACGTTAAATTAAGTGACGATGATGGTAGTGCAATATTTCGATTTTACACATTCGTTTTTCAATCGGGGAAAGATCGTTGCAGAATATCGACTCCTGTCATCGCGACGTAAAAACTGAGCTAATCAAAATCATCATATCCATTTTCCGAGAGATATATAAATAAAACATTCACGAAAGACAAAGGTACGTTAATCGCGCATTAACAGGGATACATAGGACGATATACGCATGTATGCACGCGTGCACGCACGCTTGATTCATCGCAATCCCCGGAGGAGGAGGACACAAAGGAGTAACGTCGCGGAATGGAGATTCCTCGATCCTAACCTCACCTGAGCGGAGGAACTCCCGCTGTTCTCTCGAAAATCCACCGTTTCCTAGCGGCGATAACCTCGATTACGTCAAGACAGCTACGTCCTCACTCGCGATCACATTTTGCGCTCGCAAGGAGAAGGAAGTTTCAACACCGAGCGCGAAGATCCCCCGCCGCCTCGTCTACACGTCTTTCTTTCTCGCCGCGCCGTTAGTGTCGCTGTCGTCCGTCAGGCGGCGGGCATTCCGCACCGATCAGCTGATCGTCGTGCGCACGTGCGTCCGAGCGTCGGCGACGCACTTTCTCTACACTTTAAATGTGTGTGTGTGTGTGTGTGTGTATATATATATATAATATTATCACGTGTGTAATAAATAGTACACGAGAATTCGAGAAATACATAAATAGATCCATGCGCTTTCGCGTCTTTTTCATCCACCGGTCTCTGGGGAATAAGAAGAGTGAATTATCGCATGATTCCGCGTTTTTGATTAAACCGCACCTGCACGTTTCTACGCGTGCTCAACCTTTCTTATCTCTCTTTCCTCTCGCAAGACGTGCGCGTGCGTTTAGTCGAATTGCTTGAAAATATATTGTTGTTTTTCTATAATTACACTTCTACGTTCCTTTCTTTTCTTCTTCCCGGAATGTTGTGTTGTGTTTATTTAAATTCTGCGTATCGGAATACAGTGATTGAAAAAAACCGTGTTTTTTATGGGTTAGATTCAACCTTTCTTAAATATACATTACGTTTTGTTACGTATCGGTAAAGAAGGAATTAAATAGATATTTGGATTTTTTTGGAGATTTAGTGTTTTATTTAATTGAATTAACAATATTTGACATTATGTCGACGACGCTGGCGTTACCGCAAAAGAAATATTATAGACAACGGGCACATTCAAATCCAATTGCCGATCACTGCATTGAATAGTAAGATGATTTTTGATGAGTTTTTCATGAATCAAGATTACAAAAAGGTCACTGTCATTTATTGTTTACTTATTGCAGTCCCATAAAACCAGAATTGATGGATTGGAGCAGCTTATATCCACAATATTTTCAGAGCAATACACAGCAAATATCAGAAGCGCAGAAACGTGTAGAATTTGCAGACATTGGTTGCGGCTATGGAGGATTATTGGGTAACTTACTTTTTATTTTTTAATGTATCATTATCAAACTACTATTCAATGTATTTAGACAACAAATCTATGAGAACAAATTTTAAAATATCTGTTAATTTTGTTGACAAATACTAGCAGAAATACAACAGAACCTACTAGAATGTGATAACTAGAATATAATCTGCTAGAATATAATTAAATGCAAAAACTATGCAAAATCTAATATTTTATAATTATTTAAATAATATAATTCTTTAAATGATTGAAAATAGAAGAATCTGCTCAGCTTCTATTGACAATTTGCAATCAAATTCTATAGACTCTACCAACAAAACATGTTTAACAATACATATTCAATTTATTAAAAGTTTTTGATCAAATTTGCTAGCAATTTATTGGTAAGTTGCCAACATTTTGCTGACTGAGTGAGAAAATAAATATAATTAACAAATGAATCCTCAGTTACTCTATCACCAATGTTCCCGGATAATTTAATACTTGGCATGGAAATCAGAGTAAAAGTATCTGATTATGTTATGGATCGCATTGCTGCTTTACGATCACAAAATCCTGGCCAATATCAAAATATTGCTTGTCTGAGAACAAATGCCATGAAATATCTGCCAAATTATTTTTACAAAGGACAGGTAAATATGAAAAGTTTTCAATATACAAAATATAAAATGATTCATACATTAATCCATACCTTTCATTTGTAGCTGAAGAAGATGTTTTTCTTATATCCAGATCCACATTTCAAAAAATCAAAGCATAAATGGAGAATAATAAACAAGTCTCTGTTAGCGGAATACGCTTATGTTCTAGCTGAAGAAGTAAGCATTATTTAATTTCATTGTATTAATTCTAATATAGAGATTATGATTTATTTTTTATTAAAACAACATAAAAGAATTCAGACAAATCTCGATGTGTATGTGTGTGTAAATTAAAAAAAAAATAGAAAAAAAGATTATTAAATGCCTAAGAGTTTGCTGAAGTTTGTCTGTATTCATTTCTGTTTAACATGGTCTCAGTCTATGTACATTGACTTTATTCTTTTTTACTGTTACATAGGCTATTGTATATACTGTAACAGATGTGGAAGATTTGCATAAATGGATAGTTCAACACTTCCAAGAACATCCATTGTTCGAAGAAGTTACCAAACAGGATTTAGTAAGTACAACTGTTTATTTTTTTTAATACGATGATGATTGACAAATTTTATTAATGCAGGAAGCAGATCCTATAGTAGATAAATTATATGAAAGCACTGAAGAAGGCAAGAAAGTCACCAGAAATAAAGGAGATAAATTTCTGGCTGTGTTTAGAAGAATCAAGGATCCTTATATAACGAACAGCTAGCAGTCGCAATTGTGTGTAATTGTATACATATTATTATTCAGTTATCATTACATCGCAAAAGATATTCTTGATATTCTTGATATTTCTTTTGAAGGCGCTGATTCTAAATAGGGATATTTGTCTTGAAGTAGTCTTGAAGTAGGACGTAGTAGTCCCATTTCTAAAATGGAAATTGCAAAAATCAAAATTATCAACGTATATTTTTTTAGAAATAAAATATATTTACAATATATAATATAATAATATAATATAATAATACCTCCTTTTATTGTCTTTTTTCTGCTCGTACTAGGTATCATGTACAAATAATCTGTATATCTGATATCTACACGCTGAATTAAATGTGCAGTCTGCAAAGCGAATTCTTCATGCATTATGATGAATAACAACTGTAAAGTAAAATCCATCGATAATTAACATTCTTTTAAAAAATATTGGATTGGAAGTTAAAATCTTACTTCTTCAAATATATGATTGATTAACGCTCGCGGCGGTGAAATGTACGATCTTTGCATCAATCTTTTTCTTTCGCACAAATTCATTCTGAATTGCGAATAAAATAAACCCGACTCTTTTTGCAAAATGTCCTGCATTATGTCTTTCAATAATTTACTGTTAACTATTTCCCTAAAATGTAACGAAACGTAGCATAATTAAAAATAAATAATTAAAATTCATTTTATATAAATAGATTTATAATCTAGATTTTATTACTTTTATGGAAATTGGAAGATTTTTACCATAATAGACCTTCTATGATAAATGAAGATCGTCTGATGTCTTCTCTTGTAAATGTCATTATTCTCTCATTTTCCTCAATAGATATTCCTTTTGGCGGTGCACTCGTTAATTCTTTCATTAAACTAACTTTCAGAAATTTGTCTTCTATATTATATACGGAACATCGAATTGTTATAGTTTTGTAAAAAGGTTGTGGTTTTTCCAAGCTTTTCATTGGTAATTTCTAAAAATAAATGAATATATAAGCTTAAAGAGAAACTTTTATACTTTTACAAATTGAATTTCTTATTTTCCTAAAACCTTGACATCAGAGAAAACTTTTTAAAATTATTTTTGAATTTCATAAATTTTATATATTTTATTTACTGGAACACTGATGCCTTTTTCTGTGATAGTAAACTGTCCTTCAAGTTCTTGAGATAAACCTTCGTTAATATACACATTTCGCTGATAAGTCTGCCTTTGATTGGCATTAATAAACTCGCACGATACATTTACGTCAATCATACAAGGATAATTTTTGGTATATACAGTTACACGAAAGCTTTTAATGGACATAGGATTTATCAAGCCTTTTCGCGGATAAATTTCCACATGAATTATTTTAGATACCTTACATCTGATAATGACAAATAAATATTGATTTCGTTTTGAGAAAAATCTTTGAATAAATAATTTATCTGCAATTTTAATTCAAGCCAACAAACTTTTTCCACTTATAGGCGAGTACATCTTGCACCAAGTTATTGTACATCATTATCATTTTAACCACATAGCTATATGTAGATATGTGCGAAATATTTATGCAATCAGTGTTAAAGTATACAGGAATATCTTCGTCATCGTCTTCGAAATTACATTTACATGGCACATATTCTTCAATTATCGGTTTATATGTCAAGGAAGATTCGCCCTCGAGTGTTAGTTCTTCCTCATCATCACCCAGAGTCAAACGTAATTTCTCCTATTAAAAAAAAGAGATGCAATAATTTTTATTCACTTCAAAGAAAGCTACTTGTTAGTTTTTTTATTAAATGTGTTTTGTGTGTATGTATATATATATACTTTAAATATGCCAAACTGCCGTGGTTGAAATTTTAAGAGAATTGGAACGGAAGATTGCGGATTTGCAATTACATATGGAGTTGCGTAGGAAAAAACTTTGTAACAATATTTCTGACTTATTTGCATTTCCGGATTTACAGAAAACGGGATGCTACGATTCGTACCATTATGCACCCAACATACCTAAAAAATAATAACGTTACTGGATGTTGTATGTTTAAAGATAAGAACAAGAACAGGAACAACCTGAAAGATGGGATTTTTCTCTCCAATGTAAACATGTTGAAATTTAAAATGCGTGCCGTTTAAAAGACGTAGCTTATTATCAGAATCAGACAAACATTCGATTGTTATAACAAGAAAGATGTGACGATTATCTCCAAGATCCAAGTCCCACATTGTCTCAGTTTTTCCTAACAATATGTAATGCAGCTCCAGCGTTATCCAGATCTGTTCTTTTGGCTACGTTTAATTTAAATATAAAATAATGATAATAAAGAGAAATGATAAGAAAGGAATTTAAAAAATCTCTTCAATTTAATTATAAGAGATTATACTTGAAGACTTTTCGTTTTCGGCTGTACAGAGCATACTTTTCTGTGCAAACAATCATATTTTGCACGTTGAAATTTAAGGCCTTGGGTTTTTGTAACAGGTTGGCAAGAACAGAGCTGCACTTTTTTGATATTCCAAGAAATGGTCACTGCAGTTGTATTTATTAAAAGCAATTTTACAATAATCGGGCTTTTTTGTAAAATCATTGCTGGAAAGTTATTAATATATAACGTTTCCGACGTTTCTGGTTGTAAATTTTTGAGTAACATATTGAGTCTAAAAGTGTATACATAAACACATAATTAAAACATTTTTGAGTTACGTTTGTACGAATCAAAAAATAATATGAAATTCTATATACTTATTTATTTTCATCAATTTCCAAAGAAAAATTTTGCTCATGTCTGGATAAGGCCCATAATGTTGTAGATTTATTATCTAACGTTTGTTAAAAAATAATTATTATATATACATCTATATTATATCATATATATTACAATCATATTGTTTTGTTAAATCATTACAATTACAATTATATTATTTTAAAAATATACCTCTATTCAAAACATTATTATAATTAAATAACACTGTGTACTATATTTTACCTTTAAGGTAGGCAAAATACATAAATATTGCAATTTGCAGATATTTCTTGGTGTCTGATTCGGAATCAATATGTCTGTACAAGAACTCATTCTCACAAAATATTGAACAAAAAGTTCGTAATATCCTGGCGTAGTGGGTGTGATAACAATAGTAATGATCTTATCTTGTCCGGCAAGAACAGTATCCATGACCGGATATATTTTTACATCATGCTCTATGTCTCCGATTGGCAAGTCACAATGGCTACATATCATTTTGTAATAGATATTCACAGGACTCAAGTTAAATACGTGAAAACTCAATTCTTTTGTATCTTTGTACGCCTGAATTCCAAAATCTAATTTATCCGGGGCTGACTGTCGAATATAATGTGCGCATAATTAAAATTATTTTATAATTATCATATTATTATTAAATTTTTATTTTAATATTTTAATATTTTTCACATTATTTTATTTATTTTATTATACTTCCTTTCTATTTTTTTTATTAGTAATGAAAATTTACCACAAGAAAACCGGATTCGCATCTTCCTGTTACATGTAATGTTACATAAATGTTAGAGCCAACGGGATTGTTGTTTTTCAGTACAATTAAAACACAGCTTATGTCAAACTCGTAATCTCCAAGTATCGTAGGACAAAATAACCATTCGTGAACAACGATATCGTTGGAGTAAATTATGCCATTCTTATTTTGTATCTGAAGTTCAGGCACCTCGTTAATAAATTCATACCTAGAAAATTGACGTTAATCAAATGACAGTACTAACTAACAGTTTAATTTTTTGAAAATGTTCTTGATTTTTTTTTCAGATAATATAAAAGATTATAAAAATGTAATAGTTTTTATACATCTTGGAAACTTTACATATTGTATTACATAAACAGTTTTTATTACATGAGTGTTACACATGTTTTGACATGTGACATTAATATTAATATCAGTATTTATAGAATTTTATTACTTCATCGTATGTCGAGTAACATTTCGCATACAGAACTGCTGTGAGCTCTGGCAACCTGGAAACGTCGACGCAAAATTCACAATATTTTGGTCGCTAAAAGTAACATTTGCATGTTCTGTAAATCCTTGAAAATCTATGAAGCATTCCGATTTCGTATTTCCATTGAAACGTATCGCCCAACGTTCCATATAAACGCGTTCATCGTCAGTTTCGGGTAACATCCCGACTACAATGATTTGATAATCTCTGAAAAGAGTTATAATATCACGTTGATGAATAAAGACTAATAGTTACATGAACACATTAAAAAAATTTTTTTAATAATTTTTTATGAACTCTTTAGGTGACTTTTTTTGAAGAAATAAAAGAATTTACCGTTAAAAATATTAATATTATTTCTTTTAACGTCACGTGCGTGTATAAAGAGAAATATAACGTTGCCTTAAATTATTTAAATTATTTGCATGCATCTAAGTAATTACGATAATATCAAAAAGTCTAGAATAATAAGTATGATAAAATTACCAAAAAAATAATTTATAACGAAATAATCATCTAAAAATAGCCTATTGAGAATAAGTACTGTGTAGTGTTTTTTCAACCTCCTACATATCCTTGTTAGAGTAGCAAGGATGAGTTTAAGAAACATTTATATCTTACTTAAAAAACATAAATATCTTACAAACGTTCATATATAAGTGAAATAAAAATCAAATGAAAGAAGAATTTTAAGTAAATATTACATATATTTACATAATATTACATATATTTTTTGCATCTGTATAGTTATTAATGCATAAAAAAATAAATACATTTTTAAGGATGAATTTTTTATGAACTCTTTAGGTGACTTTTTTTGAAGAAATAAAAGAATTTACCGTTAAAAATTTAATAACTTAGAAAAAAACAACAAAGTACTTATCCTACTTTTAGATTATTTCGTTAATTAAAAAATTATCTTTAAGGACAATTTTATTATATTCATTCCGCTAAACTCTTTTATATGAAAGTACAGATAAATTATGCCCATTATTGGCTTCACGATAAAGTGGCTCGACGGCGGCGGTACAAAGCGATACATCAATGGTAGATGTCCGTATTTTCTTATCAGAAACGTGGTGTATATTGGCAAGGATGGTACACAAGGAGGCATCTTGACTACGTGAGGTATCTCATACTGGGGAATCCAACCATCTGAGCAAACGGGAAACGAATGACCTGTGTAAAAAAACAAATCGAATTAAGTAATCGTGCAAAAAGGAAAGAATGAGAGGAAGAGAGGACGATACGCACCGATTAGCCGTACAGACGTAATCGCAGGGAACGTCAGAATCTCTTTGTTAGAGTCTTTTTGCCGCTCAGTAAAAACATCTCCAATGAGATCTCTGGCGAACAAATTGCTTCCTCGATCGGGACTAAACGTGACTTCAAATAGAGCCGTCTGGCTCGTCGGTATTTTCGCGGTGGCGGGTGTTACGTTGAAAATTCCTTCAGTGTCTGCGTACAAAATTGATTAATCAATTATCGAATCGGAAGAATAATAAATCTATATTACAGCGTCTAATTTTAATTTCTGTATAATATTATAAATAACATAAATAATATTAGATAATATTAAATAACATAAATAATATTATAAATAATATGACACAGTTTTAACTTAATTTCAATATTTTTTTAAATAAAAAATAATTGGAAGCGCTAGAAAATAGGAGCAATGACAACAATATACTGATTTAGAACTGGGAACCTTGGTCCCATTTAATTAATACGTCAGACTGGCTATGATTAGTGAGACACAGAGTCTCCGGAATTCTTCGCGTAGTGTTTTCCGTCTGTGCGTCAGCCTGACCGAAGTCAATGCAGTTCTTCGATGATGAGATCGTAGGTAGAGTTTGCACGATAGTATCGCTCGTGTATCCTTCAAATCCGCTTTTTAATCTCGCAGGATAATTAAAGCGTTTCCGCATATTCGTTTTACGTAACGCCGTGCTGCAGTAGCCGTATAACTCTATGATAATCGGTTTCTATAAAATGTATCATGAATATTACGCAAATATTATACACATACGTAAAAACTTCTTTCATTCGCATGGAATCACAAATATCCCATATACCAAATAAATATATACCTGCTACTTATAACATATATGTAAATGTGTATCTATATTATATAGCATTCATATTCGGTGTTTGCTGGATTTAGATAAAAACATCGATAAACTTTTTCGGTAAAGAGCTAGATGATAAATATTTTGCCATTTTGTTTTTTGCTTTATGAACCACAAGAATATATGATTTCTATCAGCAAAGTTAAAAAAATATAATAGTAACGCTAATCTCAGTAGTACATAAATAAGTTATCACTCATGAACAATAATAACAATATAACATTATGTCAATATTATAAATTCCCGCTTAACAATATAATTGTTGCATACAATATATATATTATATTATTATATTTATATTATATTTATATTATATTATTATATAGTAGGAAAATATAATATTGTATATGATGTGATGTCAATTTGTCTGTTAATTTGCATTTATCGAACAGTGTAGTTAAAGTAAATAAATATTAATTATTGTTAATACTAGTATTAAAACAATTGGTACTAGCCGCACGCTTTAGTAATTGAAAATAAGAGAAGATTCAGGTTTTTTTGTGCTTATTACGTGATTCAGGATTAAGCACGGAAAGTGGCATGCGTAGATCCCGTCTTCCCGCGGCGCGAAGCTAATCGTTATGCATTTGTAGGAACGGGGCCCGATGTGTCCGTGCCGGGGATTCGCTTCGAATGGCCTCTGGAGCAGGTCGACGTCGAATGCGAATATCGCTGTGGCTTTCGAATCATTGACGAGCCTGATCCGTTTCTTCGCCTCGCGAGTCTCGCCCGAGCACACCATGGCCAATCGCGTGATGGACGAAGAAACCACAGGTCCTGCACACGTAAACGATTGATCTACGTCACGCGATAATGATCGTAAACATCGTCACGATCTCAGAACACGCGTTCAAGATAATTAATGACTCGTGACTCAAACCGAATGGAACTCATCACGTATGTGATCTTCAATAGAAAGACGTCGCAATTATCGTCTTCCGAAATTTATTTGTCGTAGATTTGGGAGAGGACAATTGAGCCTCTTAAAAGCTAGCAAGGCTAATCAATTCTGTGAAATAAAAGATAGAAAAAAAAAAAAATGACGAAATTATAAACTGATCGCCCGTTCTGAAGAGTGAGTCAGTTAATTTCTTCTGAAATATTTAAATAATTGTCCTCCACAATGAAAAAAAAAAACATCATCGAGAGTTTCGCAGAGTTGGATTTTGCCCCACGCACGCTTTAAATCCTTTTCTCTAGAAAGACAAAGTCGAAGTTCTCCGTGATGAAAAGGATTTCATTACCGATGCACGTTCCACGGACTTGGATCTCCACGTGTTCGCCAGCCGAGTCCATGAGCGTAAAATAATCTACGTTTACCGCAAACGGCACAAACGGCCGATAATATATTTTGCATTTATATGTCTGGCCGGGAAGCAGAGACCACGAGTAGCTGCATAATTCGAACACGTGATCCAGTGGATTGGTAGCTGCGTCTCTTCGGGCCTCGTAAATTTGCTCGATCTATATATCACATCATCGGTAAAATCAATCTTACGTTTTGCGGATGCTACCTGCTCAGTGATAAATTAAATAAAAATATGAAATATATATATATATATATTTTTATTAATTCTTGGTTGTCTGTTTCTAATCATTATTTCTTCCTTTTTTAAATATCTAGTAAATAAGTAAAATAAAAATTATATAGTGTGATTTATAATAATTTTATATTTTTATATAAAAACATAAATATGTTTTTACATAAAGTTTGTATCTTGTAATGATTCAAATTTTTTGTCATGCTGTTGTATAACAACATATGTATAAAAAATTAGATTGTAATATTATTTTTAGATTAGATTAATATATAAAACATTTTTTTGAATAAATGTTGCCTTGATTTAATCATATTTTTATTTCATTTTTCAATTTTGTAACTACGATTACGGTTAGAGATAGCGCTCATAAGAAACAAAATCTTTTTGCATCAATTTAACATTTAAGTTGTAATCAAATTTGTATATGTTAATAGAGATGTCAAAAAATCATTTGTTATACAGTTCAAAATATGCAGGAAATAACTCATCTTTTTAATTTAAAAAATTTGATCATTTTCAAGTAAATTTTTTTAAATTAACGTATAAACGTTTAATCCAAAATTCTTCTGAAATATATTCTGAAGAAGTTGAATTCCAATGTAAACTCTCTATTTTTTAGATATTTAGATATATGTTTAAATCAATATTCCACATAACACACTTTATCCGAGAGATTTTAATCTTTAAAATATAAGGATCTCTTAAAGATATCCAAAGAATGTCCTTTGTCCTAAGGACATCTCTCGCATAAAGTGTGTGAGATACAATGATTTAGGTAATATAATTTTATATATATATATATATATATTATAAATATGCAGAGACTAATCAATTTTCTTTAATTAAAAATGATACTTGATATTTTTGTCATTTTAAATAGTCAGTTTTCCCTCAAGTTAATCAAAGTTAATCAAAATCGCCTCTTCTGTCATTTCTGGCAGAGTTCCAACGTGGA